CACTGTTTCTTAACATGATCACTAAATTATTTTATTTGGCTGGGAAGTTGATTCCATTTTCACCGGCTGTCTGCAACCTTAAGGGTGTTTTCAGTTGGGTCCCTAAATTTTGTTTTGTCTCATTCCCATCCCGAACCTTTTGAAGTCGTTTCGCCCTATATCCTCGGCTGAACTTAACATAAGACATTACTTAACACACATCATCTAACATATTTGAAGTGTGCCAGCAACACATCTAACTCTCTTAATTAACCGTATACTCTCTTTTTATGATTACCCCAGCCAGTGTAGTAATGCTTCCAATTAAAGGTTTTTATTCCATCTCAAGGAGATGAAATATTTTATACTTTGTTTTTATCATTTTCCTTCATTCACGGAATTCGTCCATCTTTAATATATATCAAATTATTAACTAGCTTCAAATTCATTAATTGTACAACCTCTCTCTTTTATAAGTATTTATGATGAAAGTGTCTTTACACTAATTTATTAATTCACAAATTAACTCATATATAACTTGTTAGGAACAATATACGTGGTATGTTGGAATACCACAAATTTAATCCTCAATCTTTACTTACCAAAAATAACTTGCTAGGATTGGATTAATCAACACTTTTTGACCCATCCTGACTCATGATCTATTGACGATCCAACCCGTGTGACTTGAAGTGACCCAACCAAACCCTGCCTATCACCTACCCGTTTGCCACCCCTTCCCAAACAACCAAAAGGAAGTAACTTAACTGCTTGTACTTCATCCTCCTAAACATAGTTTATGTGAGAAAGAAGGCTCAACCTGTTTTTTATCCATTTCGGGCTAAACTAAATGACCCTACAAGTACTTAAAATGCCTTTGTCACTATGTTAATTGGCTCTGGGAAGGCAGAACATCCAGTCATGGTAGCATTATATATATATATATATATATAGATCTGCCTGCCTTCTATTCTAATATTTTCCAAATTAATCCGACATACCGACACAAGTTACCCATTTTTCATCACGAAAATGGAAAAAGAAAGAAGCAAAAGAGAGCTTCATGCAAATCGTAAAAGATGCAGTTGTTACTTCTCCATCAAAGGTCAATGGATTATTTCCTAAGCTAAGGTAATGCGAAAGTTAATAAGATTAATTAAGATTAATTAAACTAGGACCACTAAAGAGCTTGGATTAATTAAACAAAATGATCATTTCTCAAGTTTATACACGCCCTAGAGAGACTGCAAATATTTTTCAGTCATGATTGATAAATACTTTTGATTGAAAATAAGAAAATGATTAATATACCCTTTGATTTCTAATACATATTTGGCAATTTAAAAAAAAAAATTAATAAAATCTGTATATATGCAGTATTAAATTAATCAAGAACCTCAAAATTATGAAGCTTTAACCTCTAAAAATCCTTGAAAACTTTTGACCAGAGGCCTTATTGCGTATCTCTTGTGTTGTGGACTTTCATCACTGTTCTATGTGTTTATTTTAAAATTGACTTTTGAGGTTTAGTGGTTGGTGCTGGAATTTAGATATTGCCCCCTTCATTTGAAAATAAATGTCCGCACCTACGTGTTGTGTGCCAGGTAAAACCGGCTTCGTGTCTTCTGGCATGCATATTTGAGATCGATTCAAAATGAATTTCCACACGTCCGTACACAGTGCTTTGTCGATGCTTTAAGCTTTATGGACTTTGTTTGAGGGTTGTCAAGATTTTTTTTTTTTTAAGTGGTTAATGTGTTTTCGAGACTAATCCTTTCTCAGTTTACATTTTGATCTATTATGTTGGAATTAAGAAATTTATAAAATATTTTTTTTTATTGTTATCCTTAAAAAATTATAACTTGATCAATAAAATGAAAAATAAATCTTCTTATTAACTAAAGTATAACTCTTTTAGTATATTAAGATTAATAATATTATTTATAAAAATGATGTTTTTCAGTTTAGACTATATTTTTTTTAATGGGTATTTAAATAATTTTACTACTCAAACATAAAGTCCGAATTATTAAGAAAAAAAACCACTTTTGATACTATATATTCTTAATTTCTCACTTGATAATATTCATGGGCTTTTAGCTAGGTAAAACGGTTTTTGTTTATATGAATGATTAATTAGATATTATAAAGTACGTAGAAATTCCTAAATAGACAAGTATATATACTTTAATAAGTCATCCTCCGTTTTCAAAGTATTCCTTTCCGATCTTAATTAATTGCATCAATATTCAATCATGCAATGCTTTATATATTGGGTTTTATGCGTGTGGTCGCAGAAATTAAATCATCTTTCTGTGTAGTTATGGGTTATGGGTTTGATCAATGTCCTCAAAGTTTATCCTCTAAGCTCCAAGTGAGCAATAGAGAGGGGCTTTCCTCGTCCTCTCAAAAAATCATTCTTCTCTCTAAGGTATCATTTTTTTTTTTATTTGGCCAAATAAAATGTTCTATTATTGAGAGTGCACAAAATAAGGATATGTTGGATTTGTCAAATTTGATATCCGATTGTAACTTTTTTTCTTTTTGAATAACTTGTCAAGGTATTTGGAAATAACAGGTTATAAGTTGATTTTAAATTATTAAGTAATAGATATTCAACCATTATTTATTCCTTCAATTCATTTTTCGGAGTTTTAGTTCAATTTTTTAGATATATATTTTAAATGAAAATTTAATAAATTATATAAATAACAATTAAAATTTTTTTTATCAAATTAAAGTATTTAACAAGAACTTCACATAGGAAAAAAAAACATTTCAATTATTATTTATATAAATTATTAAGTTTTTATTTAATACTTTGTTTAAAAAATTAAAAAATCAAATTAAATCTACTAAAAATAAATAGAGAGAGCATTCTTTATAACTAAACCAAATAAAGCCTAAATCACCGAATATGCCAGGCAAAATCACAAAAGAGAAATATGCCAAAAGTGCCTCCTTATAAAAGGCGGTATAGTGAAATTAGTTGCACAAAGCTTGGCCAACTCACTGATATTAATTCGGTCACCGCCACTGAGTTAATTTTCTCTGAAGATCTCTGCCTATATTATGGAAATAATCATATTCCTACATAGTGAGATTTGGATGAATGTCAAAGGCAAAAGCAAAAAATCAACTGCTAAGAAAGTTCAATATTCTTTTGGAAACTTCACGGGAAAGTCCCTTTGAATTCTCCCCTTCCCTATGGTTATAATGTCAACTTCAGTTTTATAGTCTTCTCATAAAGCTTAGCATGTACTTTATCCAGCTACAAGGGGTGAATGAGAAAACAAGTCCTTTCTTCTTAATTTAACTTCCAGCTATTGTACTCTTTTTCTCAAGAGATTACGGTATTCACGTTGTCGGTAGAGAGCTTAATTTTATCTACTACTTAAGTTCAGTACGAGCCAATTGTATGGGTATTGAATTCAAATCATAGATTCTAATATGTACCTTTCAACCATTTAACTTAACAGTTTGTTTGTCATATAAATTTAAATTTGAGTAAATATACATTCACAAAAATGATAGTGACAAATCTAGAATTTTCTCCCTGGAAAAAAAAAAAACTAAATTAAGGACTATACACATAATATTAACATGCAATTAGTGGCCTAGCTAGGAACTGATTGGATTCCAGCTTCATGCAACTAATTGAATTGTAATTAATCCATGGATTTGTTGTCTGATTGTAAACAGAAAAGAATTTTTATAGTAATAAATCCATATATCATGGCAATAATATTCTAGTAGATTATGATATTTTTGATACCAACCATGTCAAACGTATTCATATATAATCAAATCGTAATGATCATCAACAAGACGCGTTTCGATTTATGTATCATCACACTAATTACAAATATTAATAAAACTCCAAAAACATCCATTAATTACTTCTCCTTCTTTTTCTTTTTTATTTGTGATTCTATTGGAATTGCATTCACAGTATTTCTTCTCATTCGTCACATTAAACAACAATCTCAAGGGACATTAAAAAAAGAAACGCAAAAAATTGAAGTACAATGCCTCTTGTGTGAATTGGTTTTTAATAATCATTAATAGAAGAGTGAGATTTTTTTTTTTTTTTTTTAATATTGAAGCTCATCTTTCTATCAATTATTAAAAATAGTAATTCTAAGAAATGAATTTATGAGTAATTAAATAAATATAAAGATATAAGTTAAGTTTATGATTTAAATTTTAATGTTAATATTTAAGAAAATTAATTTTTTTAAATATATTAAATAAATATAAAAAATATATTTTTAAAATTATTTAAAAAATCTTAAAATACATAAAAACTAATTTAAAAGTACTTCAATAGTAAATAAAAAAATTATTAAAAGTAGTGCTACCTGAAATACAGCACTCTAAAAAAAATCTAAAAAAATAAAAGGTTTTGTTTTTCTATTACTTTATCATTCCAAGCCATGCAATAAAGTTCAAACAGATGTGTGCATAGTACACCTGAAAATAATATAGAAATTCAGATGGCTCTATTCTAGCCACCTACCATGAGAATAGCATACAAAAAAAACATGTGACAACACTACTACTTTGTAAATACTCTTTCCAGTACATGTTAGAAGTTAATTATAAATTGTGTAGCAGTATAGTACTAGTACTAGGTTAAACATAAGGTACCAACTGGACAAGTCACTGTTCTCCTAGGATAGATAAACTTTTATACAGGATAAGGACAGAACCAGTTCTTAGAAGAAATTTTTTAGACCCTCCACAAAACCCACATCTATTTATTCTAGGACAAGTCTATTCTAGACCCCCACAAGGCCACAACAAGTATAATAATTTAACTATGGAATTCCCAAAAGCATCTAAATTACTTTATCATCATTTATTTTTTTAAGGTCAGAAGTTGTACCCTTGGAAAAAAGACTTCGAAAATGGGGTATTTTCAAAGGAAATAAAGAGGGTAATACATCTCGCTCTTTTCTTATGGGCTTCAATCAAAGTGCTTTCATATATATGTACATGGACTCAATAAAAAAATGGTCTTTTTCTCTCCAAGTCTTGCTATTTCAGGACCATGTAACTCTATAAAAAAGAACTGCTTATACATCCCTCCTTAGATAGATAGCATCCTGCATTTCTTACCATAGCAATAGCATTTCACCTTTCTTTCTTTTAAACCCATTTATCTTCAATTCCTCAATTCCTCAATCCCTCCCCTAAGTGAAACTGAAAATTCTCTACCACATGGAGCCTCCAAAATCAGAGCCATCTGCTGAAACTTCAAGCATCATCTCTATGCTGCCGGAGGGGAAACAACCGGGGGATGGTGACCGGAAAGAGGAAGACAACGACCTTGTGTTGGATCTAAGCCTTTCTAACAAAGATTCCAACCAAGATGATCAACTCCAGCCAGAACTCAACCTAATCGACTGTTTCAAGACAAGTTCATCTCATGATAATTCTTCAGACAGTTGTGCCCCTAAACAAGGTAACGAAACTGAGCCCCGGGTGTTTTCCTGTAACTATTGCCAAAGAAAATTCTACAGCTCGCAAGCACTCGGCGGCCACCAGAATGCACACAAGCGAGAGCGGACGCTAGCAAAGCGAGGACAACAGCTCGGCACAACCACATCTGCTGCTTTTCCGAATAGGTATTCCAGCATGTCTTCGCTTCCTCTGCATGGCTCCTTTAATAAAGCTCTTGGAATTCAAGTGCACTCCATGATCCACAAGCCATCCTTTGCACCACCGCACGCGGCAGGGTTTTACGGGCAAAGTGGATGGTCTAGACAGCCCATGGAACAACAACCGGCAGTTGGGCGGCTAGGAATGGAGAATTTTATCATGGGATCAAAAGTAAACGTCGGAGTCTCATCATCATCATCTTCATCCTCAAATGGTATTGCAAGATTCCAGAGTAGTGTACGGAGGTTGGGACCGGTACAGGAGGCACCTGCCGGATATTGGTGGGATAGTATTAACCATTTCAAGACTAAGAAAGATGACTTGAAGCTTGACTTGTCTCTGAAGCTCTAATTAATAGTTTTTTTTTTTTTTGCAATTTGTCTTCTTTTTGTTTCTTTAATTTTTAGCTGGATCTTTTGTAAATGCAAAATTCTGGGATTACAGAAAGAGATAAAAGAGATCGATTTTCTTTTAGTGGAAATCTTAAGTTGGAAAATTTGCCATATTCTGTGAGTCTGGTGATGGGAAGTATGAAGTGTAAAATTGCCTGTGTTGCATAGAGCCAGCCAAGATATCAATTTCACTTGGTTTTCTAGATTTCTATAGTGTTTTTGCAAAATTGGGCGACGCTTAGCAGACAAGTAAGATCTAAGGGATTTTCCAAGTAAAAGGCACTACTTTTTTTGTTCATTGTGAAGGCAATTTCCCCATGACTTTACCTGTTTTGAAGATATTGATTTCACACTGAATTTATTGTTTCCATCCGTTTGCAAAATTAAATCCCCTTTTTCTTTGGTGCCTTGCGTTCAACTAAGCTATAATTCAAATTTCAAATTTGAATGAATATATAATTGCTATCACGTTATAGGATATTGTAGAAAAATGCTATTGATGCCGAATGGTCGTAAGTCCAAAAGCAGCTTTATCCTTTCCCATCTTTTTCGACTCTTTTTTAGTATATTTGATGATGTATTATACAATAAAATAATTTTTTATTTCATCTTAAGATTTAATTTAACACATTTAATATAAATACTCAAACTTTTAAAAATTATAATATTTTTTAAAAAAAAAAACCTCAACTTTTTTTTTTTTAAAGTTGCACAATGAGAGACAATCGTCTTTCATCTCTTATCTCACCTCACACACATGCCATGCAATTCAATCTCAGGATCTCTTACTTCTAATAAAAAAAAATAACTACTAAACTATTTAAATCGTTGACAAAAACCTCATCTTTATAAATTCTAATTATATGAGTATATATATTTATATAATTTTTTATATACATATATGTCTCAAAATTAATCTCCTCAAATGATTTACAAGGAGACACCCCTACTCTAACGGCATGTTGCATGACTTAAAAACTCACTTTTCCACTCGTGCAGCGGCAGATGGGGCTAATGCCTATGCCGAAAACCTTGAAGTTTTCGACAATTGGCGTACCAAAACAAAACTGAAGTAGCGTGTGCATACACAAGTATAATACTAATGGTATTCATCTAAAAAAAAAAAAGTATAATACTAATGGTAATGATAGAAATTAGTCTAGTTGATATGAGAATTTTCTGACTATACAATTACAAAAAATAATTAATATTATATGTAGTTAATAAATAAATTAAGAAATTACTGTTAAATCAATCTATCATCGGCTTGACCTATAAATAATTCTCTCATATTTGATATATTTTTTTTAAGAGGTCTAAAGTTCGATTCTTATCATTCTTTCGAACTTTTAAATATACAAGGAAATTAAGTTATCCTACAAGAAAAGGGTCATTATATACATACATGTATAAACTATTTGTCTATCCTATGTGTTGAAGTTCTAACTGTTGGTTTAGTCGGTAATCTTACTAATGATATACCCTTTGACGAATTGAAAAAATAGAATCTATCTTGATTGCCTTTATAGACCTATGGTTAAGAGTACATGAGACTCTACCACACCAAACTATATGATAGATGGTATGACAGATTCCATTAGCTGCAAGTTAACTTTAACCAAAAAGAGTGCTAGATTGCCAGCGACATTCTCTTTACCACCGAGGTAAACTCAATTCCAACATAAAGGAGTGCTATTCTCTGTCACTCTTACTGATTCATGCACTATAAGTCACCAGAAAAAAAATCCCATGATAACATGGAGTCTGATTTTTATGTGACACGATCCAAACATTTGGGCACAAAATTTATCATAAAGCTTGTGGATGTCATTTCATATTGTGTATGTAAAACATGAATGGTCCACCCCAAAGTTATATGTATGCACACAAATTGGATGGTTGTGAATGTGTGAGTGACAACATCTTTGACCCACTTGCAGTTGAAAGAATAGACTATCTCTATTGGGTAGGTGTGTAGCCATGTGAATGCAAGCAGCACAATGACTCTCAGCTATGCGATCACATCATTAAATTTGTATATATCACATTTAAGTAAATCACTAAAAATCTCATTTGCCTTGATTTCTTACCTAGATGGGTCCCAGGAGACTTGGGGGTCCAGGCTATCAACTTGATGTGTACAATCTAGATCATGCTAATGATGATATTACAAAACATGATTTTCCTAGAATCAAGTTGTAAAGTAACAGAAAATCTCACAATTATGACAGTTAATTATCATGAAAATCCCCAAATTAACGTTGAACATCATTGATTTGTTCTGCCACGTGGTGCCAATCAGATGGAATGTCCATGTCTTGTGTTGGACTGGCCTTATCCTTGTCATTTTGCCAATTAAAAAACAGGGAACTTTTGGTTTTGCCTCTCGGTTAAGAAACACATCAAAAGCTCAAGTCTGAAGATGGTGGGAGCTATCACTTTGCTGAGATTAGGTGAAACTTTCAAGCAAACAAGTACTTTCCTCTGTTTATCTTACAATAATCATGCAAGGCAATTATATTGTCAGTTCTTATTTCAATTTTAATCAGTGCCTCCATCTTCTAACAAATCTAGTTTAGCTTTTCCAAGTCGAATCTAAATCAAAGGTACTTATTCTAATATGAAATCAGGTAGGAACTTCCTAATTTCACGGCTTTCACTGGGGCAAGCAACCCCAGCCAAAAATAGGTAGGAGTGTGTCTAGCTACTTGCTAACCAAAACCAACATAAAATGAGGTCCCATTCCTCTCCTAATTATTTTACACCTAGCTTTACGGGGAGCAAGATATCCATTCATAAAAGCGGTGAAAACTTTCATTGACAAATGCATCAGCAATCAAGAAACAAATATCTGAGATAATACAAAAAATAGTCTCTACTTTTTCTCTATAAATGACTTGACATTTTCTAGCCAACTAGAGAACTCAGTTTTATCTTTGTTCTTCATGTACTCATGCAAGAAAACAGCAAGGTTATCATCTATACCTCTTTCCTCCAAGAATTCATAAAGTGAGTCTTGAAGCTCATCATCCAACTCCCTGTAAACACACCAAACAAATTCAACTATTAGAACAGCTTCAGTCCATGATACCTCTTCATCAAAGAGAATGAAAAAGGGAAATTATTCTGGATCCTATGCCTTAGAATTTTTAGTGTCGTACAAATTGAAAAGATAAATGAACAAAACCAAGGAAACTGGTAATATAAGGATAGCTTAGTCATTTCATTCTACCAGGTTCTAATAATTATAAAAAAATAACATTATCTTCTTTTTCCTCCAAATTTCCCAGCAACCATAGTAAATAAAGCAACAGAGAAACAATGTCATACTTGAATTCAGGACCAATGAAAGGCTTTCTCTTTGTCCTTTTATGCCGACCTATGAAAAGATTTATGATCTCTATGCTATCTGGCCAAGCTGAGCATGTGATCTCCAACACATCACCATCATCCCCCTTTGAGATATTGACAATCAGTGAAATATGAAGCTCCACATCATCCTCTGTGCCAACAGATTTAGAAGCTGGAATAGACCCATCAAACATTGTTGCTTCAATTCTAATATCTTCTTTGTCCCTGAATTTTCTTTGCATTCTAATCCATTGTTCTCCCGGACGGTCATCAACTGTGAATGAATTAAATTTGGTGACAGGCTGCAACTCAATGATGGTAAAAAATCACAATCAGAAACACTAGTCATGCTCTCTGTTCGACAAGACTGATTCATGTAGAAAATATAATAAAGCAGTTGCATAGTTTCTTAATGCAACATTTCAAAATATCTAACATTTTGGCCATGAAAATATTTAAAAGCACACAAGCCCATTCAGTTGCAACAGACACTGTCAAAAGGAATTTCCTTCAAAACAATTTCTACTTTTCAATATCAATGAACTCTCAATACCTTTAGAGTGAACATGTTCAACAAGTAACCCTCTTCTTGCTTCTAGACTTGAAATAGAGCAAAAGAACGAAAGATTAAAACTTTGAATCGTAAGGTAATTCTTCTTTTCACTTATTTGTAAATGAAATTGACTTAATTTATTTCTAGTATTTTCATTTCGTATTAAGCTATTAGGGTGTCTATTTATTTTATTTGCAAAGCTTTACACATTCACTCCAGCAATTGGAGGATTTGAATCCGAAACTTTCAAGGCCTCAACTAGCCTTTTACAACTGGACCAAAGTCTCATTTGCTTGTTAGAATAAAGTTAACACACTAAACACAATAATTGAACTACAGGGCCTCTTTTCTAATAATTTCTAATCATTCAACAAATTTCCCAAAGCAGACTATTAAAGCATTCATAGACAATTTCCATTTCTAATCCCCAACATCATAGTGTTGAACCTAGAACAAAGCTATATGAGAAAGCAAGTTGTAATCCCATTACTAAAAAACCATTTTTCTGATATCCCAACCAACCAAACAGAATATATACACCATTATCTTCAAGACCCATTTTCACTAGAAACCAAAAAACATCTTACAGAAGCATACGCATGAGAGAACGTAACATAAAGATAAAAACATCACCTGCTTGGGAGGGGATCGTTCAAGTTCGTATTGGATCTCGTTTCGGAGGAGTCTCAAAATGTTACCTTCAAAGGCAGATTTTCGCATTTCTGAGATGTAGTTTCTGGTGAATTGGGAGGTACGGTTCGAGATAGCAGTGGGGTTTTGGTGTTGGTAAAGAATTATGGATTTAGGGCATGGAGAGGAGAGGATTCTTCTTAAGGGTCGGATTAGACGCGCCATGGATGGAGGTTTCTGGGTGATGCTGTGAAAGATTTCTGCTAGGGTTTAAGCAAGGTTTAACTGAGAAACGCTAATCAGTCTGGCGGTGAGTTTAAGGATTGGAGAAAACGATATAATAACCCCCATACTTTTTGAGTTGTTCAAATTTAGAACCTTCTAAAATTTTTGTGATAAATCTGTCCATTGTACTTTTCTACTGAATAAAATTAGTCCAAATTTAAAAGCTACTAGTTTAAAAGTGTTTATCAGTTTTTTATCAACTAAGAAAGTGTTTATGGGTTGAATATATAAAAAATTAAAAGAAAGACATTGTAGAAATATGTCTTTAATAACTATCATTTCAAAATTTAATTTTATTGTAAACTCATAATTTTTATAATAATAATAATAATTTTGTACTTATTAAAGGGAGATAATTTCAATTTGTTTGTTTTATTTATTACAAGTTGAGTTGATAACCGTTGGAGTCTTCATATTTTGTATGTGTTTTATTGTTTAAATGTGCAATATAATTACAAAAATAAAAAAAAGGTACAACATAATGTTTTTTGGTACATAAAGTACAATATAATATTAAATGTTATTAAAAAGTGTGACTTATTTGATAAAAAAAATTATTTTTTATTTTATTGATTAAGTTTTAATTTTTTTTTAAAAATTAATAGAAAATAATTTTTTCTAAATTTTTATCTTAACATAAATGATGTAATTTTAATTGGATGAATGAAAAATTAATTTCAAGTTACATACAAATTGATTTGAGAGAATACCTGACTTTATAAAAAAAAAAAAATTAAATGCTTCGTGGCTTAAGTTAGGACAGCATGGAGGCTTTAGCATCTAAAGCAGTGATTGGAGCTTCATGCTTTGCATCTCAAAACCCTAGACAAATAACCTACACATAGCGGATGGCCAAGAAACAGAATAATACAAACTAGAAGACAATCAAGAGAACCTGAAAGAATCCAATTGCATTATTAGAGAAGTCATGCATCCAAGTTCTACTTTCAAAACAGTGGTCGGGATCAAAACCAACTCATTTCTCTGTAATCAAATATTTCTTATATGATCTATAAATGCACCTTGCCAACTGCCAACTATTCTCTTCCTGGCAAGCACCTACTGCATTCCCAAGTAAAATGGGCAAAAATATCTGCAACAATTTAGCAGAATTTACATTTCATTTCTTGGAGTCTTGTGTTGGTCCTTTCTTTTGATTATTGCCCTTTTGGTCCTCATGGGAAGCATCAGAAACTGGTGTTGATCCTCTTACTTCACTTTGTTCCAAGCTTGGTGACTGTTCAGTGGATTTCTGTTTTATAAGTTGGTCTTGCTCCAGTGATCTGCTGGGCTCTGATTTACTTTTGCTGTCAGAAGGTTCTCCAATTGCAAGTCTTTTACTCTCATTACCATGTTGCTGGTTCTTGGTTACATTGCCTGCTGCCTCTTTCCTTGATTCAACCACAATCTCCTTCACAGCCTCCTCTAGTTTTTCTAGTCTCACTTTTACCTCAGAGAGCTCTGGATTAGAGTCAGCCTCTTTTTCTTCAGTGGCACTTTGTTCTGCCTCTTTTGCGTTTTCTTCTTCTTCTTGCTTCTTTTTCTGCTCAAGCTCCTGAAACAAATTAAACAGAAAATTATAGAAATAAGTCAGAAAGTGGGAAACACTGCTGAGCAAAGCTTAGAATGATAACCAATAATGCAAGTGACTAAGCACAATATAGTTCCAATAATACTAATATTATTATAAATATATATATATATATATACATATATATTTCAACAGATGACCAGCCCAGGATTAAGAAATTGAAGGGTTATAATTTGATATTATTAGGATTTTAGCATATTATATTCTTATAAAAAGAGGTTACAAGATCATCATATTAATATAGAAAGGGTTATAATCAGTTAGACTGTTTTATTATCAACAAAACTAGCCTCCGGCTTTTGAAGCACTTGAACAACTTAGGTTGTGAGATCATTGTAAATTTAGGGCTCGCAAAATGGTTTTCTTTGCTTTCTCCTACACAGGAATTAGGATTTGATAGCAAAACAAAATAGGTTTTCTTTGTGCCTCCATTATATCACAGTCCCGACTTGTTTTACTTAATACAAACAAAATGTTTATCAAAATTTTAAATGAATAAATAATAACAAGAAAAACTCACTGCTTCCATTCTTCTAATTTCATAGCGAGCATATTGAGCCACCAAATATACAGCTGTTGAAGGAAAAGTTTTCATTTAGAGAGCAGCATAAACCAAGTGACATTCTAAATATGATATATGGCATGTGTTAAACAGGCAAGTTAAGATTACCCAATGAAGGCAGGCAAGCAAAGAAGAGCTGTACAAGATGAAAATCAAACCTGACATAAAGTAAAGACAAGTAAGCACATTCCAAGGTAAAGATATGAGGCCCATAAAAGTATAAAGAGAATACTTATCAGAGTAAGCTAATTTTCATTGAAATATTAGGAAACTTCAAATACAAATAAAATAAAAGCATGCATAAGTACATGGCTCAATGCCTTTTTTCCCATCACACATCAACATCGTGAAGCTGTTGACATGGTTGCTCAACAAATAAAACAAAGATGTGATTTAAAGTAGAATTCACAGATATTTGCAAACAGTTGTCCAACGGATGCTGATGTAAAGGTCTTCTTCTTTGCTTAAAAGCATTGTTTCACAGTGGGGACTAAAGATATTGTTAAAGACTAGACACAATAACTGTTAAATAAAGATCAAGAGTGGACATGCTGTGCAACTGGCAATCCAACAATGAATGCATGCCCTTCTCTCTCAACTATTTTGCTTTCTCCTATTATCCACAGTACAATAAAGCAAAATGATATTTTAAGCCACAAGAAATCCTCTCACACAGTCACACTGATAACTTGTAGTCAAAATGAGGAACTAAACTTTCACAGGGCACTTAAAGAATTCACTCGGAAATGATTTCCTGCTTGCATTATTCTCTTGAGTTAGTCCTTCATCACATTCAATTAGGAGTCATCACAGAACATAGAGGAACCAGCCGAAGAACTTTTTGATCTAGGAATTTTCAGATGAGTCATTGAAACCCAAAAATGAAAGAATCTAATGGTAAGGGTATGCACCGTGGGAGTAAAACTTAACAAGCAGCAAGAAGGGTATAAAGATTTTAAACAATGAACTACTCCAGTTAATAGACTGATCTAGAACATGTAAACAACCAAATATCTGTTAGAACCATGAATTTAATCTAATTCTGTTTTACGATCATTCTAGATTTATAATTTAGTCTGCCACTAAATGATTGAAACAACAAAAAAAGAAACAAAAGAACCATAGACTGCAGTTCCATATCCACCAAAAAGAAAACAGGGGGAAGATAAATATAAAGTGCACAAGAATGAAAAACAAGGACGCAAAACAAAAGGTGTTTGAGGAAATACGGGAAAGAAATTGAACAAAGAATCAGTCAAAATTCTCAATACCCAAATCCAAAAATACTGAAAATAGATCAATCCCATCTTAAAACCTTAGAGACAATATAGGAGCAAGCAAAAAAAAAAAAAAAAAATACCCAAACTTCTTTTTCTTGGGAGGATCAGTGAAGAGCATCTTAGCAGCAGTCACGAAGTTGAGATTGTCTAGTTGCCTGTAAGACTCGTCGTAAGTGCTCACATTTGATTCAGCCTTGCCATTGCTATTGTTTTTGCTGTTGTTCTTGGTGATCCCGCAAAACAGTCTACTTCGATGGAGTCTGACATGGGTTGAAAACCGGGACCAAACATTTCTAGCGCAAAACATTCTGTCCCAGTTCTCCTCCTTCAACAGCCACACCTATAAAAGAAAAACATAATGGCTCCAGACAACAAAATTAAGTCTAGTTAAGATCAAAAAGCACATATTTTTACTGAATAAATCTATTTACCTGTTGTTTCTTCAATCTTTCTCCCCCTTGGCCTCCACTCTTACGAACTCATTTCCCTTGTTTTTTCTTTACACTACACTCTTTCGCCCATTGTACACCAATCAACCCAAAAACAAACACACAACTTCGTTTAACCGCTAAGTTAAATTTAGAGCAATAATTGTCACTGTTTCTATAGATTTCATGTACTTTGGAGCTTGAATCCGGTTAATGGTATCTGCAAAGTGGAGGCTTTTTGGTGTGTTTAATTTCCAATGGTCAACTCACCAGCCCTCGAACACTCAGAATCGACGAGTTGGACTTCAATAAGGAATGCCCAGCCAACAAGACTGTGGGAAGGCCAGTCTGCAGAGTGGAGGCTTGATTGTACTTAAAAATGATGAGTTACGGGGGCCGGCAGGAATGAATGTTAAGACCAGAGCTGGCGCACCACGTTCAAAAGAGAAGGCAATGGAAGAAAATTCAGTCAGGAAATTTATCAAACAGGTTGCATGCATAAAAGACAACCGTTTTTTCTGCAATATTTCTGAGGCCAAACCTGATAAAATGTAGAGAACACTAAAATTAAATGCCTAAAACCACAACCTAATTTTTTTAGTCCTGCAAGTGCAAATCCAAACTAATTTACTAATGGACTAATAATTTCTAGCTGCTGGAGATTTTTTGCATCAACTGCAGAGCGGCTGGAAGTATTGGTTGATCGATTGAAGGAAGCCAAGAGGGTTAAGAGAAGTGACGAAGTGTTTAGGTTGTCTTGGGTTTGAGTTCGGGAGGCAAATGGGTACGAGCTTGAATCCCGAAATTTGGGTCAAATTTTGATGTTTGGTTTTTATTGTTTTTGGGGGGCTTGAATTCCAATGAGCATTGGGTTTAGACTTTTAGTTGTTTGAAGAATTGGGCTTTGTGACGATTTTCTTCTTTCTTTCAATTTGAGCTTTAGGTGGTCTCTCCTCCATGTTCTTCTATTGAGTCCTTCATCTTCTTCTTCTTTTTTTTTTTAACCTAGGTGCAAAATAAAAAACAATTATATCTCATCCTTTATCTCATTCTATTCACATGCCATACAATTCAAATTTAAAATCTTTTATTTCTAACGAAATAAGATAACCATCAAATTATTTAGGTCATTATTATTTTTTATCTTTTTATTCCTTGAAAATGAGTCCTGAAATAAAACAGATAGAAGAAAATTAACATAAAATTCATTTGAAGGCAATTTTATAAATTTTTGTGTTTTCTTGTTATTTTTATGATTTTCTATTTTGTTTTTTATTTTTGTGAGATATTCTTCTTTTTAATGATAGGGGACCTGCTTCGTCTCGCCCTTGAAGTTGTCAATCTAATTTGGTCTGGGTTAGGTCACCAACCAAGCTGTCATGAGCTAATTGTTTTCCAAATGAGGCTTAAAATAGGCATTTTTCTCTCTTTTTTTTTTCTTATATTTTCTTAACATTGATATATGAATTTAGAATTTCACTTTTGCTGAGAATCCCCCCAAAAAAAAAAAAAATGATATGCACGTATGAGTCCAATACTTTTGTGTGTGGTAATAACCACCACACCCCTCCTTACTTACTCTTTCTCAAGAGTGCTTCTTTTATTTCTTTTGTTGGCATCTTATATTCTTTTCATTTTTATTCTGCTAAAGATTGAACTGAGTCTCTATTTAAAAAATTAGAATTCGTTTATAAATATATATGGGATTACTGGAATTTGGTTTTTTTTTTTTTAGATCTCAATGGTTTTTAGGAGAAAACAATTACAAGCCTAGGAACTTGCAAGAAAGAATTGGATCTGTACCAAAATGTTCAATCCCAATAGCTATGTTCCTTCTATCAATAATTAACCTCATTACCCCACAATTTTTAATTTCAAGTTTGGAAGTCTATATATATCCTCCAAAATAGGTACACTCCAAATACAACCATGATGTTGCAAATAGAGACTTGCTTTTTTATGCTTACTTTTTGAGGGAGAACAGCACAAGATGCCAAGTTAAATGGTCATTTTTCAACATTCTTGTCGCCATGATGTTGGGGAAAACTTCAGTCAGTTGTAAACAAGAAGCATGATGTAGCATCAAAATATGTACAAATGGAATGTATGATTTTTCTTAAATGGTAAGTAATTACATTGCAGTAAGGGTAAAAAAAAATCTATGAGTTAAATCTATTGATAAATTAGTATTGTTTTATATGATAAATTTATAATTCAAATCTTAAAGTTAGTATTTAAGAAAATTAATTTTTTTGAATGTAATAAATTGGCGTGAGATATGTTTTTAAAATCTTTTGAGAAAAATTTAATTTTGAATTACATGAAAGTTTATTTGAAAACATTTTTATTATAAATATTGACAATAAAATTATGTAGATAAGATTTAAATCTTTATTCGACTTTAAATCATAGGAGTGTGTAGCTTGATGAAATGAGAATGTAATTGTGAACAATTTATGTGATGGCAAAGTATCACCTACTAGTAGAAAGGGTGAGAGCGTTATTTGGCGTGTACCAGAGAAGAGTAATTGACACACTATAAAGAATTATTAGCTTTCTCACTTGATTATGAGACATTATGCCCTTATGTCTTAGGATAATTTCACATTAGAAAAAAAAGTTAGAACTTTGAAATTTCAGTCAATGCAATAACGGAACGAGAAATGAGAGGAGAATTTCTATATGCAACTCATTCAACCATTTAAATTTTTTTTTTTAACAATTTAAGTAGGGTTAATGGTAATTTTTTACGCTTAAACGTAAGAAATATTGAATTTGACTCACATAATATATTAGTAAAGTGAGTTAAATGATAAAAAAGAATTGCTTTAATTATGCAACTCAAGATTTAAAAAAAAAAAAAATCTCCCATCATTTTCCTATTCAAATAAATGTAAAATTCATTTAAAGAAAATTTAGTTGCCCTTTAAATATAATTAATTAGTTCATCACCTACTTCTCAGCCTCAAATCATTCTTAATTGTCCCCCATTTGACTTTGAGATTTTGAAGACTCCCATAATTCAATTTTCCTCTTTCAATTGCACCCAATGATTAGTGGATAAGGTTTGTGCATTATAATTTTCTTTACTATATAAACAGTCACATAAAATTAAATAAATAAATAATATTAATTTATCAATCTTACTCTTATTAAATAAAAAGAGTTAATAAAAATTATTTATTATGGATTTATTGTAAACAAATTGTTGTCATTAGCTTTTTTTTCCCATTATTACGTGGGAATCTTTGTTAAAATTCTAGTAACGGTTTAATTGTTTTCTCATAGTATTTGGTTTAATTTTATTGCTACATATGAGGTTTACTGTTATAATGAATTTATAATAAATAAATAAATAGATATAAATAGAAAGATATGTGCTGAGAGAGCTTCTTTTCTTATAGGATCCAATACTACTCGATTTTAAATTAGTTAAGATTTAACATAATTTCTTGATACTGAAATTAGTACAGAAAAAACTATAATAAATTTATGGTAAACAAATCATTTTCATTGCCATTAGACGTGCTGATCTTTGTTAAATTAGACTTCATTTAATTTCTTATCATTTTCAGTTTTTACGATCTAATTATTTTAAATTTAGCAACCAAACCTTATTTAATAATTACCCTATAAATATAAGAAAATCTTATTTTACAATTTAAATTATAGTAAATTGTAAAATATGAATTATTAGATAGGTCGAGTTTTCAATATCAAGAAACTTATTTTTATTCAATAATATAATATATTTAATACAATGTGAATTGCATTATATTTTTTCACAATTATAAAAGATTAAAAAAAAAAATAGAAACATTGATCTGGTACCTAATGGAGGCTCAACGTTAGAGAGTGTTTGGTTTAGGGCAAACTTTTTTCTTAAAATTTTTAAAAAAATTTTATATAAAATTATTTATATATTTTTATACATTAATATTATGATAAAATAAACGTAAAAGTGGTATTTTTAATTTTTATTTTTTCTTGGCATATTTTTCCAACTTGTAAACTTTTATTCCCATAAATTTTAAAAAGAAAAAAAATTTTTCTCCTCAATTTTTTCTATGTAAGACCCACTAAATAACTTTTTTTTTATCAATTTTTTACATATTAATTTTTTACCAAACACATAAAAATTAATAATTCAATAAAATTCTAACAAAATTTCACTTTAAAACTTATCAAATCTCTACAAAATGTTTATTAATATTTTATAAAATATTTTCATAACTACTGTCTCAATAAAAATTTTTCAA